AAGAGCGAAGCCCTTCTTCTTGTGCCACAGGCAGGATGCCACCCAGCTCTGCGCCTCCACTGCAAGATCTGAGCGTAAAGTTTCACCAGGTTGTCTTTTAGGTGGAGATTTGGATAGAGTAAAAGTCCACTTCACATACTGATCATATGTATCAGAGAAAAAGGAAAGGGTTGCTTGAGGTTTTTAAAGTGCTCTTTGTGAAGCGATCCTTTTGTTTCTCATTTTTGTTTCTAGGTTCAAAACTTTTTCTATGATTTTTTAAAATCATTTATGCATTTTTATTTATTTCAAATGCAGTGGTGGTAGGTGAAATGCTATTTGATCCATAGGGCATGTGTAATCTGTGAAGTTGAACTTTATAGCAAAGGAAATTGTACAGTGAAATCTCAGAAAGTGGCCATGAATTCCCTCCTCCCACTGTGCAGTTTGCAGGCACTCTTGTTGCGAACAGAGCCAACATCACGAGTGAAATGAGGTCTGAGGAGGTGAATTCTCCCCAGCCCCACTCTTATTTTTTTTGGTGTCTCTTTTGTTTCCAGCACTGTACTTAGTACTGTAGTAGAATGAGGTATGGAGTCTGCCTTCAAGGAGCCCAGTTAGAATGGAAAAGAACAAAAAAATGAGCAAAAGTTTCCATTGTAGGTGTGAGTAAAATGCCACAGGGAACACAGAGAAAGGACTCACCTTGGGCGAGGTTGTGATGACCTGGTGGCGCTCAAGTCCTGTTTTGTGTATACAGGCACCCCTCCCACACACCCACACCACAGTTCCTCTTTCACCCTCTTGCAGTCTACTTCTGCTCAGCCCCACATCGCACTACAACTGTCTGTATGTCAACAGCAGTAACCCACTTTACGTTGTCTAATCGTCATTTTGAAATTTCTTCCTTTACATGTGTAACAGTGCCATGTCTTTCTGCTTTTCCATGTTTGTTCAGTAACTTTTCTTCAGGACAAGAAGCTTCATACCTGAGAACCCCACTCATTCACTCCTTTCTTTGCTTAAATGGAGCAATCCCTTCTGCTAGCTGCACAAATCCAAAGGTGTGATGGAGCAGACTAGAGAGTCCAGAAATAGACCTACACGTATACAGATAGCTGCTTTTTGACAAAGGTGCAGAAGTCAAACAAATAGTGCTGGAGTAATTGGACGTCCAGATACAAGATTAAAAACTGATCCGTATCTCAACAGTTGTAAAAATTAACTCATGGATTACAGTCCTAAATGTTAAAACCCCAAACTATATAACTTCTAGAAGAAGACCAAGGGGAAAATATTCAACCTTGGGTTGTAACCCCAAAAGCACAGTCCATAGAAGAAAAATTTGATGAATTGGGCTTTATCAAAATTGAGACCGTCTGCTCTTTGAAATACAGTGTTTAGAGAAAAAAGCCATGGAGTGGCAGAAAATATTTACAAAACATTTCTGATAAAATGCATTCAGAATAAAGAAGTCTCTAAACTCAATAGTAAGAAAACCTATTTGCCCATTTTAAAAATGGGCAAAATATTTAACACACTTCACTGAAGAGGATATGGAGATATATATATATAGATATATATATATATATATATATATGGCAAATTACATGAGAAAATGTTCAACAGAATTAGCCATAAGTAAAATGCAAATTAAAACCACAATGAGATGCCCGTTCATACCCATGAGAATGGCTAACACTAAAAATACCATACCACGTGGTGGGGAGGATGTGGAGGAACCGGAACTCGCCTCGCTGGAGGGAATGTAAAATGGTACAGCTGCTTTGGGAAATAGCTGGGCAGTTCTTAGAAGGTTAAAATCTGTTTACTTACCACTCCTAGGTCTTCACCAAAAGAAAACGTGTAAGTCCGTATGAAGACTTAAACACGTGCGTGTTCATAGTAGCTTTATTTGTACTAACCCAAAGCTGGAAACAATCCTCGTGCCCATCAACTGATGAATGGATAAATGATTATCCATATAATGAGATACTGCTCAGCAACAGAAAGCAATTCACTATCCGTATATACAGCTTGGACAAATCTCAAAATGATGATGCTGAGTGGAAGGAGACAAAAAGTGTACTGTGTGCTTTTCATTTATATAGAATTCTAGAAAATACAGAGTAACAGCAATCTAGAAAGCAGATCATTGCGGGTAGGGGTTGGCAAGGAGGGACGTGGGGGGATTTCACAGGCATGTGAAGAGACGGGGCGGAGAGGACGCATGTGTGTGACGGATGTGTTCACTATCTTGATGGAGTTCTGGTATGACATGTCAGGGTGTACCAAACTGTACGGTTTAAATTTGCAATTTACTGAATGTTAATTACACCTCAGTTTTTAAAAGTATTATGTTCATACATTGTCCTTGACCATTTCACACCTTCCTCTTCCTCAAAGTGCCACCTTCTCCACCTTCCTGACTTTTGGCTGATGATTTTTATTCCTATTTCACTTAGAAGACAGAAGCAATCAGAACAGAACTTTTCACAAGTTCACACCCTCTGCCCCATCACCCCCTGTGTTTACTGTGCTCCAGGCAGCCTCCCCTTTTCCACAACAAGTCAAACCTCAGGGCCTTTGCATTTGCTGTTTGCCATGCCTTAATATTCTTCCTCCAAGCTGTCCCCAACCTCCTCTTTTCTATACTAAAATGTCTTTCTTAGGGAGGCTTATCTGAAATTGTAGCTACTTGGGCATTCCTGTCTCCTGCTATATTTTTCTCTTTCATATTAACGTACTGTACAGTTTACCTATCTTGTTTGTATTCGCATGTTTTTCCCTCACTTGAATGTAAGCTCCAGAGATTGAAAAAAAAAAAAAAAAAAATATTTGGGGATTACTACTGTATTCCAGGAGAGTCCTGGGGCATATTGGGCGTTCTATAAATATTGTTGGGTAAGTAAATAAATGAATGAATCAGAATAATGTATATATGGTTAAAATAAAACCTGAAAGCCATCCTCCAGAGGTGAGCACTGTCAGTAGCTTGGTGTTTACTTCCAGACTGTGCTCTGCATAAGCATTCGTTCACTGATGCTCTTATCAACACGGGTGGTACATGCCCTGGGCTGCTCTGCAGGTGGCTTCTTTCATTTTATATTTCTGAGCATCTTTTTATGTCAGTACATAAGTAGCTATCCCATTTAAAACTTTTAACTGTATTGTATTCCATTGTGTGGATAAGATTATGATTTAAGTTTTCTGAAAGGCAATTGGTTAACCCATTTTATTACATGCTATAGTAAACATTTTTGTCCATATTACTTTACTAGTATTTCTGTAGGATAAATTCCTAGAAGTAAGACTGCTAAATCAAACACATTTAAAGCGCCAAATTGCCCCCATATGTAATAATTAACACTCCTCTCATCAGTGTATGAGATTCCTCGTTTTCCCATATCGTCATCAACATTAAATAGTGCCTATTTTCAGTTTTGCTAATGCTGTGAACTTGGAAACGTGTGTGTCTTCATTTGGTAGGTAAGTTGCCCAGTAGAGAAGTTGTGTTTGGGGATTGATACCTCTAGGGAAGGAAGGAGGGCTTGTCACTGGCCCCTCCTGGAGACAGCTCATTCTAGTTCTTCACCTTCGTGTCAAGAGGTGAGCAAGGGGAGGTGGGTCTCAGGGCCTGTTTCATTCATTGTGGGTGTTAAGGGCAGCTGCAGCAGCCAGCCAGGAGACCCCTAAACTAGGTAGGATTCACACCTTGTACGCTGTCCTGGTCAGCATCCACCAGAATGGAACAGTTTCTCCTACCCCTGGACCCAAAACTCTTGTATCGGAAAAGGTAGCTTACTTTCTCCTAGACCCGATGAGATTGGCTCAACCGTCCTATCTTACTTAGGAAAACAAGTTAAATAGAATCTTCTTTTAGCTGGAAACTGCCCACTGTCTAAACTCTTAAGTGGCTTTTGAACTGCCAATGAGTTCACTAAGTGATGCCGATTGGGCCACGGGAACAGCTCTTGCGAAGGCGTCGAGGTCAGACACGTCTAGGACAGACACGTCAGTCTGGGAAGGCAGGGGCCAGATTCCTTCAGGGAGGCCCGTGCTGCGCGCACACACCAGCCTCCAGGACTTTAATGGCTTCCTACCTTGGAGTCTACGAGGCATCTCGCTCCAGAGCTTCACGGAGGCCTTGCAAAGGAAAGCGGGGGGGGGGGCGGTCCTTTGTGAATTCGCCGCTCACATTTGGCAGTGGGAAATCTATCAAAAGGCCCTTTCCTAAGGGAAATGTTCCGCTCGTGCAGCTGTGAGCTATCTGTTAAACCGGAGGGGGCGCCGAAGCCACACTGCTCAGGAGCGTTCCGCCCCCGCCTCCTGCACCGGCCTGAGGCTGGCTTCGGCTCGGGGCCTGTGCGCGTGCGCGACGCCAGAGGGGCAGGGCCCGCGCGTGTCTCGGTTGCCTGGATACCGCTGCGAAGCAGTAGTGGCGGCTTGCGCTCCATTTGCCGCGTCGCGGCTGTTGCTAGAACTGGCGGTCGGTCCTCATTTTACGAGGAACCCGAGGAGGAGCGGGTAAGAGCCCTCGTCGGTCGTCCGCGCCTCACGAAGTCGGCTTCTCGCAGTAGTGGCGGCTTGCGCTCCATTTGCCGCGTCGCGGCTGTTGCTAGAACTGGCGGTCGGTCCTCATTTTACGAGGAACCCGAGGAGGAGCGGGTAAGAGCCCTCGTCGGTCGTCCGCGCCTCACGAAGTCGGCTTCTCGGCCCGCCCCCAAACCTAGGATTCTGGCCGGGCCCTGGCCCCGGCCCCACCTCAAACCCGGGGAAAGGCGGGCGGCCAGGCCTCGCCCAGTTCAAACCCGGAACCCCGACCTGGTTCGGGATCCTGGACCTCGGTCCCGCCCCAGACCCCCGTCCTCCCCCAGGCTCCAAACTCCGGACCCGGGACCCCGGGCCCTGAGCCCTGTGGCCGTCGCGTCTCCCCCGCACCCCAGGCTTACCAACCCTCCCTTTCTCGCTCCGCAGCACACCTTGATTCTTCCCAGCTTGGTCCTGGCCTGCGGAGAGCGATGCCTCTTCCCGACACCATGTTCTGCGCGCAGCAGATCCACATTCCCCCGGAACTGCCGGACATCCTGAAGCAGTTCACCAAGGCTGCGATCCGCACCCAGCCGGCCGACGTGCTGCAGTGGTCCGCGGGGTAAGCGCCCCAGGGCCAGCTCCTGGGAGAGCCGGCCCGTCCCCGTGTGAATCCTCCTTCCTGGACCAGTGGTCCAACGCTCGGGACACTTAGGGTACCGGCAAAACTTTCACTTTAGCATTGGTGGTATCTACACCGAAGTATCATCTAGGAAACATCATGGTTTATTGACCACGAGACCAGAAATTACTGCAAAGTGCTCATTTATCTACAAAGCAATGACAGCTCCATTGTTGGAGAGTGGTGTTTATGCAGGTAGACTAAAATTTATAAAGCAGTTACACTGGGTAAAAAGTTTCTGCATTGTGTTACAAAGTCAAACTATCACAGTTTCTTTATTTGTGAAATGATTTTTACAAGGAGGAATCTTATGATTATGTTCCTTGTCTTCAGAGAATCCTCCAGTATTAGGAACCTGGAACCAGAAGGGCTGGTTCACGTTGGGGTAACCATCCCAAGGCTGCTATAAGGTCAAACTCTGCCCAGCTTAGTTCACAACACATGAGTCTTCGCAGTTTCTTGCAGCAAACATTCTAACCATTTCCAGGAACAGACATTAATACTTTAAAAGTCACAACTCAACAGACCTTAGAACCATTAAAATAAACCCTGTTGATTTTATAGGAAGGCTCTTTGTCCTTTTTCAGTAAACAAATTCAGACTCGGAAACTCAATTTTGTGGTCCCAAGAATCAGTATAAATTTAACTTAATATTTTTTAGTAACTAGCCTGTCAAATTTTGCTGACCTTCCCTAAACCGTGTGACCAAAGTGAATTAGTTTCCTATGACTGCTGTTAACAGATAACCACCAAACATGTTGGCTTAAAACAAGAAACGTTTATTCTCTTACAGTTCTGGAAGCCAAAAGTCCAAAATCAGTTTCCCCAGGCTACAGTCAAGATATTGGTGGGACTTTGCTCTCTCTGGAGGTTCTAGGGAGAGTCTGATCCCTCCCCTTGCCTTTTCCAGCTTCTAGAGCTGCATTCCTTGCATTGTTTGGCTCCTGGCATACCTCCATCGCCAGTACTGTGGCATCCTCACATCTACCTCTGCCTCCCTCTTCTAGGGACACTTGTGATTGCATTTAGGAACCATCCTGATAATCCAGGATGATTTTCCCATCTCAAAATCCTCACTCGGGCTTCCCTGGTGGCGCAGTGGTTGAGAGTCCCCCTGCTGATGCAGGGGACATGGGTTCGTGTCCCGGTCCGGGAAGATCCCACATGCCATGGAGCGGCTGGGCCCATGAGCCATGGCCGATGAGCCTGCGTGTCTGGAGCCTGTGCTCTGCAGCGGGAGAGGCCACAACAGTGAGAGGCCTGCGTACCGCCAAAAAAAAAATCCTCACTCAATATCTGTAGACTCCCTGTTACCGTGTAAAAGAAGATCCACAGCTTCCAGGATTAGGACGAGGATATCTTTGGGGCCCTTACTGCACCTGCCACCGGAGGCTACTGGTTAATCCAGCACTTTGCCTTCTGACAAATGCTTCTGTCTATTGCTTCTGAAAGACTCTCTCAAGGTTCTTGCCCAAAATTGTGGCCTCTAGTATTAACCATTATTCAAGCCTAAATAAGAGATACAACTGATTCATAAGAGTTTATTTGTTCTCTACCAAACATTCCAAGACTTAATCTTTTTTTTTTCTTGGAACATTATATTTGGTAACACTTTAGAGACAACTATTTTAAGCTTCACTTTAATTTAAAAGGCTTAATCGAGAAATTTCTGAATGTTCCGTGCAGCTAATTACTCTTAAGAGCTGTTTTGGAGTTTAGGAGAAAAAGCAAGCATTAGTCATGCATCCCAACTCTCTCAGAACAGAATCTGTTAGGGAGAGATGTCGTCCAGAAGAGGGTGAATTGGTCTTTGAAAGATTTCGTAGCGATTGGGGTTAAGACAAGGCAGAAGAGGAAACAGCGTATAACACGAGGGCCACGACAGGAAGGGAAAAGCAGCGGAAAGCAAAGCAGAAAGCCAGGGTGCGTCTGGAAGTGACTGCTGTGAAAGAAGGTTCCAGCACGCATTCAGGGGAGGGTTCTTCTCAGACGAGCCTCACCCCCAGCCTCTGCCACGACGCAGCGGCTAATTGGCTGTACATGATTATGTCATTGAGTCCTGAAGGCTTGTGCTCACGTGCGCCTTATACTTGAGGGCATGTGACGCAAGTTGGCCTGGCCACTCAGGCAGGCTTCCTCCACCTCGGCTCTATGGCTGCTTTGGAGTGACATCGCTTTGGGGGGCGTGGGGCTGTCCTGTGGATTAGAGGGTCCTTGGCGGCCTGCTGACCTGCCCCCACCAGGTGCCAGAAGCACCATCCACCCCAACTTGTGGCAACCAGAAGTGTCTCCAGACGCTGCCAGTGCCTTCCTGGGGAAGAGGCGCTGCACTAGAGGCTGGGCCGAGCCTGGTGATTGGTTTGACGCGTGGTGAGGAGTAAAGTCCGCGAAATCGTTGAAAACCCTAATTAGGAACATGGCAAAGCGAAGCACCCCCCCAACCTGGCCCTGTAGGTCTTCAGGTCCACGTTTGTCTAACTGCCTGCCTTTTAGCTTTCTCTCAGACTATGAAATTCACGAAATATGACTGGACTTGTCCTAAAAGCATGAAAACAAAGTCGAATTTGAGGGGTGGAGAGAGAAGAAGGGAATGAGATATAAAATTTCTGTTAACCTAACAAACACCTATTTGTCTACATTTTGTTATATCAGAGATGTCTCTATTTACTCATATCTTTTTTTAAAATTTTATTGGAGTAGAACTGATTTACAGTGTTGTGTTAGTTTCGGCTCTACAGCAAAGTGATTCAGTTCAACGTATACATCTATCCATTCTTTTTCATATTCTTTACCCATATAGGTTATTACAGAATATTGAGCAGAGTTCCCTGTGCTCTACAGTAGGTCCTTGTTGGTTATCTGTTTTACATAGAGTAGTGTGTATGTTAATCCCAAGCTCCTAGTTTATCTCCCCACCCGCCATTTCCCCTTTGGTAACCATCATTACTCATATCTTTTATTTTTATTTTTTTTTCGGTACTCGGGCCTCTCACTGCTGTGGCCTCTCCCGTTGCGGAGCACAGGCTCCAGACACGCAGGCTCAGCAGCCATGGCTCACGGGCCCAGCCGCTCCGCGGCATGTGGGATCTTCCCAGACCGGGGCACGAACCCGTGTCTGCTGCATCGGCAGGCAGACTCTCAACCACTGCGCCACCAGGGAAGCCCTACTCATATCTTTTAAATTATTACCTGTGGCCCTGGATGATTTAGTGTTTTGTTTTCCTGGATATGTCATTTCTTTGATGGAGGTAAAGTCATGGGGGCAGCAAATGATGTGGCTTCAGCTGCCGGCCCCGGCTGACACGTGCCCAAAGGGGAGTGAGTTTCACAGAAGGACCCTGTCTGGCACCCTGCCCCCCTCCAGCCAGAGCCCAGGTGTACACCCCCTCCTGACTTGTTGCCCCAAACTGTCTCTGTGCCCCAGGTTATTCCCAATTTAAGCAGTAATATCCGTGTCCCAGAAAGGAACAGTTAAGGAAAAAAAATACTAAAAACAAACAAACAAAAAAAAACAGGCAGGAAAAGTGAAGGGTAGGGGGAGGTCCGCACCTGACTTAGCCAAACAGTGATTTCCCTGCTCCGGGTGCCTTAGAGCTGAATAGGCGCAGAGATGCTTGAAATCAAGCCCCTCAAAAAGCAAGGCCAAGCCCCCCAACTGTCAAAGTGGCGTGACGGACCATGACCTTGCACTCGGGTCATGCGGGGCCCCGACCTCCACCTCCCCTGGCAGCCTCAGGACTCTGATGACGTTCGCTGGATAAGTGTAGCACCTGTTACCGGGGCCCTGAGACCAGGGCTGCCATTGTCCATGCGGTGCAGACAGAGAAACTGAGGCATGGGTGGAGGTGAAGTCGGAGAGCTGAGTGGAGGAGCCCGGACAGGAGCTGGGCCAGGGCACCCAACACTGTCCTCCCTCGTCACTGTTGCCCTCTGGGTTCATTGACAGAAGTACGTGAATACAGGGGCTGGTTGTGTGCTGACGAGCCTTCAGAGATGTCTGTCGTTGTTAGATATTTTTCAGCTTTGTCAAGAGGAGATCCACTTCCTGTAAAAGACAGAATCGAGATGCCCATGGCCACTCAGAAAACAGACACAGGCCTGACTCAAGGACTCCTTAAAGTTTTGCACAAGCAGGTATAAGAGTTTGCTATCAGTCAGCTGAACCTGAGATAAAACGCCGCAGAAAGCTCCATCCAAGCCCCGCCTTCCCTGCAGTAAACCTTCAAGGTTTATTCAAAGAAGGAATCTTGGATTCAGGGCCTTTCTCTGGTTTAAAGAACCCAAATTCATGATTATATAGAAATATAATTTCTTTTAAATACCGAATTAAGATGCAAGAGGCTGCTAGACTAAGAAAAATACCTGAAAATATGAAATTTTAGACATGGGAGTTGCAAGATCCTTCTTGAAATATGTGTTTATAAAAAACTATGCTAACGTGATAATCCGCCACCTTTTCATCTGAAAGACAGATTGCTCTCTGGTGTCTGTCTTCCTGCCCTCCTGAGAGCCCTCGAGACCCACCATCTCACTTGGAAAGTTCATAGAAAGTGTATTTTATCTGAATGATTGGGCTGTGTTGCTAAAAACAACATCAGTGGTATAACCCTGAGTGTTAAAGCGACTCGTCCCCATTATACATCTCGAAGTCCTGTGTTCCTGTTTGGGGTGCGATGACTTCTGGAAACGAGATTTTCCCATTTCTAGTTTTTCTAGATTTTCCCATGTCTAGTTTAAGGGAAAACGAATAACCACTGCAAGGGGTAGTTTGGGAAAAGACATGCTAAAGTTGCTCAAACCTCTTTCACTCAGAATATTGCTAGCAGATCACAGGAGTTACCAATTTTCATAAAGTTGTCTAAAAGAGTAGAAGGAATAAATTTATTTTCAGTGTTGAGATTTACCCCATTTAACTGTTAGCATGTTTCAGGGTTGGATTTTATTTGATTTATTGAAGGTTTATTTGTATTGTGAAGTATTTCAGGCAGACAGTAGAGAATCATGTACGCCATGTCTGTGTGCCCATGTTATTAAGTCATAACATTATGCCATGTTTGTTTCCCAGTCCTTTTTTCTCTTGAGAAGTAACTTGTTGCCAGTCTCTAGTTCCCAGCCCCCTTCTCTGCCTGTGCATCCCCTGTCCCCAGACACACAAATCCCCCCCTCCCCTCCCCAGGGCTAATGGTGCAGTGAATTCAGAGTTCATCTTTGAAAGGGGATGGGTGCTCTGTTTAAGTCTTCAAGAGCGTTATATTACTTCTTGGGGCTTTTAAACTTAACGTAGATTGTGTCATGCTGTGTTTTCTAAACAGTGTAGCCACAAGGAATATGTGGAATTAGCAGATCTTGAGCAGAAATGGAAAAATCTGTGCCTGCCAGTAGAAAACTTCAGAGCTCTCTTGCAGTTGGATCCTTGCGAAAACAAAATCGAGGGGATAAAATTTTTAGCGCTTGGATGCAGCATGCTTGGTGGGGTATGTACCTATAAATAGCATATTAATAATTCTGTGTGATCATAGGCCTGGCTTAAAAATAATTTAGGTGTTTCAGTAACTGAAGGAACACTTTCATTACTTTAGTAATCTTGTCTTAGAAAGGCAATTTTTTTCAGATGTTTATTGTATTTTAGGCTTATAGTTACTTTAGTTTACAGAAGTTAAGTACTTATGAATGCCTCAATTTAAAAGATGTTAACAGTAGACAAACCATATAGATACTGTTAAAATGTGTTTAGTTTTTAGAAGAGACTGCATCAGTGACTTTTATTAAACTACATGTCACTTGGTAAATGATAATATATTGCCCTCATCTGTGCAAAGAGGCATAAAATTATTTTCTATTTTAGTTAAAATCTGTTATTCGTAACTAATACAGTAGATACCTTGCTGATGTTAAAAAGTATAACTCATACAACTTAGGAATGAAGACACAGGGAATTCCCTGGTGGTCCAGTGGTTAAGACTCTGCGCTTCCACTGCAGGGTGCGTGGTTTGATCCCTGGTTGGGGAGCTATGATCATCCCACAAGCCAGGTGGCCAAAAAAAAAAAAAGAAGACAAAGAAGAAAAAGGAATGAAGACACATACGTTCCTTAAGGGAGGTGGGTGTGGTAGGGAGGGGGTGGAAGTCTAGAATCTCTCTTTAGCCTTAGTATTTGAGTCACCCTGTGAGACACAGGGGTCAAGTGCAGGGAAAGTTACCACTTTAAGTTTGTGAAGGAAGGGGTTGAGAAAAGAGAGCTAGCTCCCTTTACTGCAGAGACGAGCAAAGTTTGCGACCCTCTCCCTTCAGTCTTTGGACCCCAGAGCACGTAACTGGCTAACTCTTAGTCCTCACTTCATGGGGTGCCCTCATCTCGGGTCCACGCATCAGCCTCCTTAATTCTGTTTTAACTTTTAAGAATTACTTTATGTAACACTACCTCGCGTGACCACTAACACAACTAACCGCCTACAACTAACCTCCAACCCGTCCCCCTGCCGCCCACACCTGAAGCATCAGCTCCCCTGATCTCATGCTTCCCATTGATCCCATATGGACCCCAAGAAATACATCATTTAATTTTAGTTGGTTTTAACTTTATGTTGTTACTAATCTTCTGGAACTTTTTTTCATTCCCAAGTAGATTTCTCTTTATTCATCTGTATCATTACGGACGCTGTGGTTCATTCATCTCCTCTGCTGTGTGAATATAGTGCAATTTACTGGTTCTGTTAGTGGTCCCAGCGAGAACCTCTGAAACCCCAGTGAAGTCGGGTGTTAGGCTGGTCGCTCCCTTTTGCTGTGTACCTGCCCACGGGCGGTGTTTCCGGTCAGCCATAGAGCGGTCAGCCCTGGGCTGGACACCTCAGACCAAGTTCCCTCCTCTAGGCTCAGAGGCCACCAGGGAGAATCCCAGTGGAGTTTCATTGGAGAAAATTTTTTTAAAAATAAATTTATTTTTTATTTATTTTTGGCTGCATTGGGTCTTCGTTGCTGCGCGCCGGCTTTCTCTAGTTGCAGCAAGCGGGGGCTACTCTTCGTTGTGGTACGCGGGCTTCTCATGGCGGTGGCTTCTCTTGTTGCGGAGCATGGGCTGTAGGTGCGCAGGCTTCAGTAGTTGTGGCACGCAGACTCAGTAGTTATGGCTCACGGGCTCAGTAGTTGTGATGCACAGGCTTAGTTGCTCTGCAGCATGTGGGACGTTCCCGGGCCAGGGCTTGAACCTGTGTCCCCTGCACTGGCAGGCAGATTCTCAACCACTGTGCCACCAGGGAAGCCCTGTTGGAGGAAATTTTATGTTGCTTTGTTCATCTGGAACTCTGGAAGCAAGATTTTAATAATATAAAATTAATAACTAATATTTGATTTTATGATTTGCTCCTCTAAACTTATTTGTGAAATTTAGATTTTTATAATGATGAGAAATTAGACTATTTCATATTTGGGGATCCATCTTTGTAATTTCTACCTCCCTAATCAGGAGAATCAGCCATTAGATTTCAAACCAAACCAAGCCTGTTTTGCAAGATAAGACCTCTTACCGTGTGTGGGGTGTGACACTAGATGGAGACATTTGTTAAGGATGGAGCTTCCTTTCTGAAGTGACTACTGGGGAAGGGACAGGGAAACAGCACACACACGCTTCTCTATTCTTCCTATAACGTGTCACTTATCCCCCTCAGCCAGCGTGGGACCCTGCCCTGTCCCCTGAGGAAGCCACCTCTTCCAGGAGTCTTTGCTGTTGGCCTTTGACTCTCTCCTGGTGCCAGTGGCCCCCTTCTCACTGTGGAAAGCGGGGAACCTTTCATACTTTCATATCCAGGCGAAGTTCGCAGCCTGAGGTGCCACCTCTGCCCTGGCCTGCCCACCCCCCGTACCCCAAGTGCAGGGCTAACAGCCATGCTCTGGGTCCACGGGGGCCAGGAGGAGCCAGGCCCAAGGCGACACTTGTTTCGTTGATGCACCGGGTGCGCGCATTGGCGGGGTAGCTTGGAGATGCCCCCGGAGCACAGTGCTGTGACTTCTGGGAGATGCTTCTCCATCTAGTTTGGCATCTTAGCATTTGTCTTTATGCTTAATAAAGAAAACCTTCAAAAAGGAGCAGATGAAGAAGTGAAGTGAGGTGAGGAGGAATCTCTCGTGGGTCACTGCTGTCCACCTCGTCGCACACAGGACTGCTGTGAAATTGGACGCTGGTCACTCTGCCTGAACGTGTCGTAGCGACTCCTGCTGCCCCGTTCAAACCACAGCGTCTCACGGCTTGTGGCTCTTCAGTTGCTCTTCGGAGCCACTCTAGTCAGATAAACCGAGTTCTCTGCAAAGACTGGAACCTCAGATGTGTGAGCCACACGCGTCGTTCACCCTTCGTTCCTTCCACGGACGTCTGTCAGTGTGGCTTTGTGTGGGCCTCGCCATGAGTGCCGGGCCTCCCGACACCCCCTGCCCGTGGAGGGACATCTGGTACATCCTTGAAGCCCCGAGCGCTGCTCTGGTTCTCACTTCGAAGCTTCAGACAGGGTGGGGGAGCGTCGGGGGCTGGCCGTGTCTGGGGGCACCTCTCCCTTGCAGGGCGAAGCGAAGACAAGTCTGTGTTGTGACCTTCACCTTAGGTTTCTGCAGCCCCATCAGGGATCCTAAGCGTTAAAGAGGTGGATCAACATTTTTCATCTGTTTTTTTAAGTATGGACATCTTTTTTGTAATGTAAAAACTTGTGGCCCAAGTCCCCATTGCACCCACACACGACTGACAAAGCCTGTAATGACAAACTATCCACCTGCCTCTGGTTCGGGTTTGAAAAGCCTTTGCACTTCATTCACGAGAGCATCCCTCCATGTGTACAGCTGCCAGCATATGGGCGTGTCACGTAATTTCCCATCAGAACGTACTGCTTACGAACGGCCAGCGTTTCTAGGGTTCTTACCAGGTGCGGGAATGTTCGGAGCCCTTTGTTTTCTCTTTAGTCCTCCCAGCAGCCCTTGGAGGAGAGTCCTGTTCTCCGAATCGCAGGCTAGCGAGCTGTGGCCAGAGGCTCGGCGCCGCAGGTGGAGGGGGTCGGGCAGGATCTGGACTCAGACCATGGGCTCCGGAGATGCCGCTACCGGTAGGTGCGGGGGATGGAGAGGCCCCTGAGGATGCCCCTGTAGCCCAGGGAGTGCGCCACCCTCAGGCTGGGATACCGTGTCAGAGAGTAACAACTCCTGGGCCTTCCCACTGATACCGTTTTATATCCTCACAAGATCCGCACCCCAGAAATCTTTGTGTCAGCCTCCCAACAGCTCTGGCTCTGGAGATCTCAGACCCGCACCCGCGCCCAGCTGCAGTCTGGTCGCTCTGCCTGCACGCGCCACAGCGACTCCTGCTGCCCGTCCACTCCAGGGCGTCCACTCCGCCCGTTGGGTCCGCTGTCTGTGACCCGTAGAGATGCCCTGTGCGCTACAGGCAGAACCCGGCTCGCTCCCGGCCACTCTCCCCGGGGCCCCCTGTTCAGGGTCCCGCTGGGCCTCTCGAGCCCATTCTGAGACGCCCACCCCTGCGGCCAGTGCAGAGACGTGGCCCTGACGTGAGTGCGGGCGTCCAGCCGCAGGCACGTTTAGGAACTGCCTCTGCTGACGAGGCAGCTGATCGTGGGCCCCCAGGCTCACTGCCCCCCAGGCTGAGCGTCTCCTCTGTGGGGAAGAGGGGGTGGGGTCGGCGGATGCCGGGCCTGGTAGCCCCTCCGTCCCTTAAGCCTGAGGGACTGGCTTCACTCCAGCACCATGTCTGGCCAGCCGGAGAATGTGTGTCTCCCTCCGGCACCGGCCATAAGCCCCAGGACCACGTTGTAAATTAGGAAAGCTGCGAGGATAAGGAAACGAAAAGGGTCGCAGGCTTTTTAGTTTTTGTTTTTTTTAACATCTTGATTGGAGTATAATTGCTTTACATTGTTGTGTTAGTTTCTGCTGTATAACAAAAGTGAATCAGCTATACGTATACATATATCACCATATATCCTTCATCTTGCGTCTCCCTCCCACCCTCCCTATCCCACCCCTCTAGGTGGTCACAAAGCACCGAGCTGATCTCCCTGTACTATGCAGCTGCTTCCCACTAGCTATCTATTTTACATTTGGTAGTGTATATATGTCCATGCCACTCTCTCACTTTGTCCCTGCTTCCCCCTTCCCCCTCCCCATATCCTCAAGTCCATTCTCTACGTCTGTGTCTTTATTCCTGTCCTGCCCCTACGTTCTTCAGAACCTTTCTTTTTTCAGATTCCATATATATGTGTTAGCATATGGTATTTGTTTTTCTCTTTCTGACTTACTTCACTCTGTATGACAGTCTCTAGGTCCATCCACCTCACTACAAATAACTCAATTTCGTTTCTTTTTATGGCGAGTAATATTCCATTGTATATGTGTGCCACATCTTCTTTATCCATTCATCTGTCGATGGACACTCATGTTGCTTCCATGTCCTGGCTATTGTAAATAGAGCTGCAATGAACATTGTG